TATCACAAACCTGGTAAACTTATAAAGGCCATAGTACTCTCAATAACATTGCATACTCATATTGTGACACTGGGAACAAGAAAGGTAGGTATCCAGGCTTTAACAGTCCTAAAAAAATATTACTTACTGAGATAAAAGTTCTCCAACCTACAGTTGGCTTTACTAAGTGCTAAATAACATAACAATATTTAAATCTGATATGAAAACAATTACTTCTTTATCCAATGCAAGATCTTTCACTACTTAAAAAGAATAATTCCTTCTACTGAAAAATTTCACTTTGAGTTTGCTTTTCTAAAGATATAATATGAAAGAAAACAATGTTTCATTATTTAATCTTCATTATATGCATCTCACAAGGTTAAGTATATTTTATGTACTTGCATAATTGGTGAGTGGACAAGTTCAGGTCAGCAGGAAGCTAAAGTTTCATGTAGTCTTTGTAACAGTATTTTGTCCTACCACAAGATTATGGTATAACTTAGCATAGTTCATACAAAAGCTTATTTTGGAGACTTAATTTGAAATATCTACAAACATTTTCATTAATAGATCATATAATACTGGTTGTATCTTAGGTCTCTAAACTGTATTATTAATAAACAGGAATAAACAAAATCCTAAAGTGTATTTATTGTCAAGGGGTACGCTATTTTGTTTCAGAAATGTTTTTGTTTTATTAGTTATGTTGTGTTTTTTTTTCTGCTTTACAATGCAGGCCTTTTATGAAAACACTACTTTTAACACTCTTATCAAAACCCTTTGCTGCTAAAAGACTCCACTAAGGAAATCCCTGGGGATGTTAATATCTCTATGAATATGAGGAAAAGAAGAATTTCATCTGACCACAAATTAAGATATCCTTTGGAAAATTTGAAATTCAAGAAGACATTAAAAGGAAGAAGTCATCATTCAGATCTTGGTTTAATGCAGCCTGGGTTTTCTTTGGTTTATTAGTTAAAATAAAAGTTGGGTGCTAACTAGTACTGGCACCATTCCATCTATTAGTGCATTTGTCCTGGTGGTGTTCTTTTAAAAGAAGCTGGAAGAGAGTACACTTTTAGTGACTACACAGGTAGCTATCTGTAAACATGTTAAGCTTTCTCTAGGAATACCTAAACCTTTCTGGACCACATCCCATTGTGATGTCCAGGTCCTGATGAAATTCCATTTCCAATTTAAGTTGTAGTCTCAAAATATGCACAGGTGACATGGATCTGAACTCGGAATCCATGTCACTGTTAGATTTTCGAAGAATTGAAGGTGTTCAGGCAGTTCCATTTATCTTAAACTTCACCAAAGATAGCTTTTCTTATAAATTCCTTTTAAAAGAAAATTTTATAGTAGAGCAAAAAACAAGGGCTATATGTACACACTCTTAAACGAACCTTCTGTCAACTGAAAATAATATTCACCTGTTTTAGCATAGAGTGCCCTGCTATTTCAAAACTACCAATGACTCATGTTACAAATGCAGCTATTCTTAGGGCGGTGCACCAATGATGTTAATAATGTTCCTTGAAAAGGGTACTATTTAATCATGTGTTTTGCTGATAAAAAAAAATAGACGAACATACCCTTGGTACAGTTCCAAATTACTGTCTGTTAAAATGTTTATTAGGCACCTATATGCCCTCTCTTTTTGCTGAGTGAAAATTCAGACAGTAAAAAGCCATTTGCTTCACAGGAAATAGCTACAAATTAATTGCTTTAAAAAGAAGCATAAAATCATACTAAAATTAGAAAGCTTTGTAATGCGGAGTTTAGGGAACCTGTGTTCTTTAGTCTCTTGCAATTGCTATGGTTGTGAAACTCTAACTACTATATTCTTGGGGGGAGGGGGGAATTGCCAAACTAAACAGGAAACAGTGGTTCAAACATTATGAACACTTTGAATAACACTGAAAATTTATTAAAAGACTATACAGAAACTACTTGGGAAAAGAATTCTATAGACTGAAGTCTTGTGATTACTGCATATTCCAAAGTTCCCCAACCCTACTACCTATGACAACTAATTCGCAGTTTTCTCCTTTGTCTTCCTAGAAAAATTACAAGTAAAGATGAATGCCAGTACTCCCCCCCACATCTCGAATTGAGGCTCCAGAGGAAAGCATTCTGGCTGAGTGACAACCAGATTACTGGTTCATACAAGAACTGCTGACGCAACCTTCAATATACCAGGACACAAGAGGAATGGCTCTGCTCTGGCTTAAAAGCATAAAACTGGTTAGAAACAACAAACAAAGCATATTTGGTAACAAAATTGAATGCAATTTTAGAATAACAACTTAGGGGAAAGTTTCAGTAGAAACTGTACCTAAGTAGGAAATGCTGTCCTCAGAAGAAAAACATTCCTGAAATTTTCTTTCTTGAAATAAAACTTTGCCTCTTCAAGGCAGCTTTAATTCAAATTAAGACAAAGACTTTGAATTAAGCCCCGATGATCCTGGGGAAGAACTTTCAGTAAAACTATCCTTGGTTGTTTTCCCCAAAGTATTTCTAGAGAGAATGAAGTGGATCCCTTAACATATTCTGACAGACATTTTCCTTCTATCTTTCTGCTACTAGGCACAGCAAACAGACTGAATAAGCAGCCTGGCTTTGGAACAGGCAAGAACAACATTCCTGGGCCAATCCTAGCGTCCCGATTTGTCTCAAAGCCCTGGTACACAGAAGTTTAAAGACCATGTAACATCTTTAAGAGCACATTTTCTAAGAAGGAACAGCAATTTTCTGTATTTCAGCCTCTTCCCTTCACAACTTTTCTACTACAACACAGTCAAGAACTTGTTCCACATAACTTCTAACAAAACCATCTCTGCTTGTAAACTATCTTGTTATTTTTAAGGGGACACAAGACTGTTTTTTAAAAGCAAAATGAAGCTAAAGCGGATTTCAGAAACCCAAATTGAAAGGCATGAAGACAGAATAAAAGAGGGGGCGGGCGGGGCAGGGGGGGATCAGAAAGTGTCCCTGCCTTTGATATTCCCTTTTCACAGTGCTATGGAGACCATATTTGCATTAAGCTTATGCCTCCTTATTTCTTTGTCCAGCTTAAGTCTTTTCTTTCTTTCTTTTCTCTTCTCTTCTCTTTCTTTCTTTCTTTCTTTTCTTTTCTTTTCTTTTATTTTCTCTTTCTTGTCCAGCTACAGATTTCTTTGTAGCTGAAATCAATGGGTATGAAGGCAATTAAGGAAAGATTAGCAAACAAACTGGAGCTGCTTTCACTCCATTCTCCACATTCCAGGCCAAGAGAAAAGGATAACAGCCTGAAGAGCAAATGGGAGCTGAAGCTGGTTTCTCCAACCTATCTGAAAAGTCTTTGTGCAGTCAGAGGGCTATTATTTCAGGAGACAGAGAGAAGGGGGCAAAAGATTCACGTTGCTAAGGAGACTTGCTGAAGCTGGCATTCCTACATAAATTTCCATTTCTATTGAAGGTGGAAAAGAAAAAATATTTTTTCCAAAGTTTATTTGCATCCCCTGGTTACCAAAGAAAGGCCTTTTACCGATTTATTTCATCTTTAGTTGTAAACAACTAATCCCGAAAGAATTAAAAGACCTAAGTGTTGACCTCCTGCTGCCAGCCAGGCCCCTTTACTATGAATCAATCAACAAAGAAACCCTTCAATAAGAATTCTGAGGTAACTGCAAAAAAAAAAAAAAGCCTTTGTAACACAAAATTAAATTTCTGCAAGGAATTTAACCAAGTGAACTAATCTCTCTTATAACAAAAAACGAAAGACAAAGAAAGTCGGCGGGGGGGGGTGGCTTTTGTGCTATTTTAACTTCATTGGAACTTGGAAACGTTTTCAGTAAAGCTGTATAAATAATCTCAGAGAAAATATGAAACTGTCAAAAATAAATTTAATGAGTTTCTCTGGTCAGCGTGTGTGTGTGTGTGTGTGTGTGTGTGTGTGTGTGTGTGTGTGTGTGAGCGCGCGCGCGTGCACACGCGCATGCGTGAGCGCGCACACCAGCATAGGAAAGCATCAGCAGAACCTTCCTTTATACACCCTCCTTAATCTCTGCACACACCAGCAGCTGAAGAATCAGAATTCGAGATGGCATAGTTTGCAGTAAGAAACTGGAAGTTAGCAAATTCCTACTGAGAGTAACTGGGATGCTGGGAGCGGGGCGTGGGGGGGGGCACAACAAAATTGGAGGATCATGAAGGGAAAGAAGCCATAAAGTTCCTTTCGAGTTAGTAGCCGCAAGGTCTACAGACTACTCTACCTCTCTTCCCATCTTCGTGCAATTTTCACCGCTTGCTGAATAAAGCACAACTTTTCAGGCAACTGCAACTGGCTCATGGAGAAAGGGACAGAAAGAGAGGGGAGGTTCTTACTGTGGGAGTGAAAGAAGGGAAACTCAAAAGCAACAACGATATCACCAAAAAAGGAGACAAAATTCATCAGTCTCTCCAGACTGTCGGTATCATTCCCCAAAATTTAAAGGAAGGGGAGGGGGTAAAAAAAAGTGAAAATTCATTCAGAAAAAAAAAAAAACAGATAAAGTGAAACAGAACAGAGAGAAATGTGGGCCGAGAGGAAAACTTAGGCAAATTGCTCTTAGACAGAGGATTGGGAAAGGAGGGGAACAGAGTGGAGAAACCAAACATCTTGAATTTGGGGCGTTTTGTCTGTTTCTTTTTTAACGGGGGTGTGGAAGGCGTCGCATCTTTTTTCACAGCCACATGGTTCTCGCCTTCAATGATAACAATTGCCCAAAATAGCATACGTGTTACTCCAAAGCCGGAGAGACTGGCAAAGAAAAAGGAGAGGGCGTGGGAGGTCTTCTGAGTGTTGGCGACCCGGACTCCTTCGGATGAGGGGAACATGCAGGGGCTTCCTGGGGCCCGAGGGTCTTAGTGTAGGGGAGGGGAGAGAAGGGAAAGGGGAGTACAGAAGGGGAGGGAAAGGGAGGGGAGGGGTGGACTAGAGAGGTGGAGGCAACAGAAGAGCCCTGGGCAGCAGGGGCGCGGCGCGGGGGCCTCACTGCTGCCGAGCGTGGACTCGCAGTGCCAGATGTCCTGGTTGGCGGGATTCCGGCAGGACTCCCATAGGGACAGGTAGTACTGGTGGTCCGCCGTGACCCAGGCTGGGCTCAGTACAGCTCCCAGGTCCAGACACAGCGCCAGAAAGATGCACACGAGCCCGACCAGCTTGAGCGGGGTCAGCACCGACACGCGCAACTCTTCCATGCCGCTGCCCGCCGAAGCCATACCCTGGCGCCGCTGCCGCTCTCCCCGGTGCAGTCTAGGACACCAGGAGGGTCCAAAGAGCCCGAAGCAGGAACTCTGGACCAGAGAGACGCTGGTACACTGGCGCTGGGGACTCGACCCTCGGGACTCTGTTCCACACTCCGAGAAGCCTGTGGGACTGAGTGGGGAAGGCTGAACCAAAGGAAGTCGTTAGCAGCCGCAACAACGGCAACTGCACAGTGGACCTTCACGCAGCGCTCTGCCTGTGCCCGCGCCCGCGCCTGCTCCTCCCAGGCGTGGCCAGACTGGCTCCGCCTCAGCCCCGCCCCAGGCTGCAAGAGGCTGCGCCTAGCAAGGGAGGCGGCGGGTCTGCAGAGTGGAATGGCTCTGGTTTCTGGCGTCTGGAGTCCCGCCCTTCTCAAGGCTAGCCTGGTGGCCACTGTGAATAGAAATTCTCTGCTGCCAGCCCTACCACGTTTGCTCTGGGGTCCCTCCATGGGGATGTCTCCAGGTCACGTGGCTTTCTTTTTCGTATGGAACAGGTATTGAACGTTTTGTTTATTTTTTTTTTTTCTTCTTCTTCTTTTTTCCTAGAAGACATCTGATGTGGATTCCTAGGCTTCCTAGCCTGTGGCCTTTGGAGAAAAGATAGGTCTCCATTCAGCGGCAGTATGCCCACTGCCCAGCCATCGGTAACGATGTTATGGAAGAAGAAAAGTAACTGGAAATTCTTTACACTCTCCAAACCCGGAACGAGTCCAGGAGCCACCCTTCTATCCCCACCTTCCAGCACCTTATTAAGTCAGTTTTCAAGCTGACTGCAGCCTTTGCTCTTCCTCTGAAGGGCAAGTGGGAGATAAAATGGAAATGAGAGATTTCACAAAAATGAAAAGCAAGTCCTATTGGCATCTCTGCTGTTTAGTCTGTTGTAATTTGTCTAAAATCCCTAATGTACTTAGAGCTGTGTTCAGCTAGATCTGAAACCTTACCTTGGTGTTAACTTTCCTTGTTCTTCAGTAAGCTCCACTACAGGGCTTAAGGCAGGAAGGAGTGGGTATATCATTCCTGAATGGGTAATTAATGCATTTACATAGATTTTTCAGGAAACTGACATAAGGACTCTTCAAAGGCCATTGTCTTGGTTCTTAAGGAGTGGATTCGTGCTTTAAATCAATTTGTGAGAACTGTACAAGCCTTGAAATTGAATTTCTGGTTTTTTAATTGTCGAATTCGGCGTGATTGGTGGACAGATTCATATTTTTTTCTCTCCATCTTGCCTCAAAACACACACACACACACACACACACACAATACACACAATATATTCACTAGATCATTGACCAAGCATTTTTCCAGATCATTTACCCTTTCAGTAACTTAATGAGAAAGTCAAAAATGAAGATAATGACCTGAAGAATGCACCTCACATTCTCCCCACCCCTCACACAATACCATCATCAACCTAATGGCTCTTATATTTTGTGTGTAGGAATGGGTATGAGGGCATTTAACAGTCTTTCTCTTCTACCAACTGTTTCCAGGGGCATAGCACATTTTAAGAAGCAAAGTAGTACCAGGTGAGATAAAACACGTGGTTTCTTACAACTGTAAATAGAACTGGCCATCTTTTCTACTTCTCAAGCACGATCATCTTAATTACTTGAGGATATATCATAAACAAACCAAGAACACACTCAAAGGGACTCTTTTACTTGGATCTCCAAAGACTTATTTGATGCTAGTTTGGAAGACTAAACAAGGAAGATAAGTAGAATGAACTCTGATGACCTGAGTTCTAATACTTCTTTTTACGTGGACTTTCACATGCAGGTAGATAATTTACATTAAAAGTAAATCATTAAGAAAATTTCTTGAACATGTCCTCAGTTTAAAAGCAATTGTTTTGCCTCCAAATTCTACCACCTAACTTTTTGAGTCAACTAATATTTTTCTTATCCGTCATGCTTATTACTCATTCTCACCACCCATACTCCAACCTCCACACTTTATTTTTTCTGGATTGCTCTCAGCTGCTTGCTGGAGTTGATTCTTTGTACTATTTGTGATTTTTAAACTATTTCTAACAACACGCCTAATGTTTTAAGTCCTCTACCAATCATTTACAAATAAAGACTTCAAACCAAAAACACTACTTAAATAATTAGCAATTTCATTTGGTAGAAAGCTATTTCGAACTATTTTGAGGTGAATTATATTGTTGATTTATCTCAGAATAAATAAACAGAGACACTGTTAAAGTCTTGTGTAACTTATGGTACAACAATGTATCTTTTATGCATCTGATAATAAATGATTTTATAAACTCAACTGGCTCCCAAACTTTCACTGAAAAAATGGTAGATGAATAGTTCCCCTAAAATTGGAAATCTAACAAAGATACTAAAAGATAGCTAATTTGAAGTGAGGTGGGGTAAGACAGTACACATATATTATGGGCTATCTTGTTTGCACATATTATATACACAGTGTCTTTTGCACAAACTACAATAGAAATAATTGGAGATTGAGAAATGAAATGAGTCCACAGTAAGCTGTAAAGAAAGAACTACTCGCCCATGAGAATTGATTTGCAATTAAGTGAAAAATGAGGACAAGACTGCTTCCAAGTTTGATTGAAGAGGTTTGTTGTAGACATGATGGAAAAAAAAACAGCCAGTGGCATCTTAAAGTTCAGATTGATCAAGGCCAGAAGACTGAACCAGATCATGAGGGGAATGGGAAGAGGAGAGTGAGAGAGGACAGAGGGAACAAGTATACCAAGAGAGACCCAGTACCAGAGCCAGCCAGAAGCTCAGAGCTTGTTGACCAAGAGATAGCATAAAAAAATGGCTGAGGTTATATAGGAATCAGAAGCTGGGGGAGGAGATGTCTAGACCCTAGAAAAGATGTGTATTATGGAATCATTCCACTCATGCATAGTCAAGACCCTTTTGTTCCCAGAGAGGAATAAAGATGGTATGGAGAAACAAATTTTCTGTAAGGAAAACAATTAGAGATTAGAAATAACTGCAACATGCCTTTCCAGTGTGGCTGGCAATAACATGGACACATTTCTCTAAGAACCAAAGATAAATACTTTAGAGGTTTACTTGTTTTACTTATAAGTCCATTCTTCAGGTCACTCCACTGATGTGTGAAGTGATTTATTCTATAATATCATGAGGTCTGCTTGTTACTTATGAAAATTAATGAGATCAAGAGACCTTTAGGTTATATATATTTTCTGCTGCTTCTATGGAGTTTCTTATGTTATGCAACATTTTGCATTTAAGATTATCAAATAACTGTAATTGATTATTGTTGATCATGCCTTTTAAAAAACAAGTTATAAAAATTTAAAATTCCACGGCTAACAACTGAATTACATCATTTTCTAATATATATTCTGATTTAAATATTGAATTAAATTTGGATTATTAAAAATTGTATTAAATTTGATTTAATTCAGTTGATAATAGTATATTCACTATTCACATTGTATTGATGTTTTGATTTCATGATAATTGATGTTTCATATTAGTATCTATTACCATAATAATTTTCTAATCCATAAAAGAAATTGAAAACATTAGAGAACATTGGATGAAAAGGATGATTAGTTCTAAAATAAATATGTTTATTGTAATGAAAATAATTTTGAGCGAGGAACCCAAGCGGTAGGAATATGGGAATATAGGCATTTAAAAGCAAAACTTGTCTTGCCGGAATAAGTTCTTTTTGTTTCTCTGTTTCTATCACTGCCCGTCAATGTAGTATCAAGTACTCTACCAACACAAACCCAATTCTGAACTGATTTGGCCTTTACTTGGACATCATCACAGATATTTGTCATTTCTGTATCTGGTACAGAGTAACTAACTCTTGGAAACTAATTGATAAAAGAAGGAATGAAAGCTTCAGAAATGAATGCTATAATAGTTGAGACTTAAGTAATATTCAGAATTGAAGCTTATGTTTGGTGAAAGGAGCTGAAAGGGAGTGTGCTATTGAAGCATAGCCTATTTGTGAATTTAGGCACAGATCAGTGAAGTTAGAAGAAGTAAAAGAAAGCATGAAAAACCATCCTGGAAAACTGGTTCCCTTTTTCCCCCTCAAGCTTTCCTTGGAGCTCATTAGCTAAGTATCTTCTATTACTCTAAATTCTGTCTAAAGCTATCTTTGTACATTTCAGGTGAATGTTCATAAAATTGTTTTCCTACGGGCCTATTTTTATTTGAGCATTCAAATGGAGGTCTTTGCAGGCAGGAAAAAATATCTTAAGAAATACCTGCCCTGAACCTTTGCTAAAGTATCATCAATTTATACCATCAAATATAGCATCAACTTGCAACAAAAGAAGATGTTAGGGCTAGTGGATATAGCTCTGCTGGTAGAATGATAGCCTAACACACACAAGACCCTGAGTTCCTTGGCCAGCACCATATGAGCTAGGCCTGACGATATATGCTTGCAATCCCAGGACTCCAGATATGGAGGCAGGAAGTTTAGCAGTTCAAGGTTATCATCAGCTAATTAGGGAGTTTAAGACAAGTCAAGATTACTTCTTGAGACTATCAAAATTAACTAAATAAACAGAACTACTTTATCTATGTTGATATGCTCAAAATCCTTTCTCATGAATTAACCTTTGTGATGTAAACATCTCAAACCTATTGTATCTGGAAATGTTTCTCTTGTGTTTTGGCAGAGTCTGCTTCTGCAGAATCAGAAAATTATTCATTAAATGGGTGTTTGTGTGTGAGAATGTGTGTGTATGGTGTGTGGTATAGAGGTCATTCCTTTTCTTTGTGGTCTAAAGCATTCACATATTCAAATGGCAAATATGAACCCCACAGTTTACAAATCATGATGCTTTCGACTAAAGAAAGGAAAGGTTGGACATAGAAAAGATTACAATGAGGGGGTACCTGGGGCAATTTATACTCACAATTTTCAAATAGACGAATGCAGCTGAGCAGTTACTCCTTGGGGTTTCCAAACGGGGGTTTTAAATGTCAACAATGCTAAGTGATTGAGCCTAGTGGGAAAAGAAAGCCCTTTTAGAAATTTCATTTTAGTGTAGCTCTCACCTCTAGATTTAACCTTTTCAAATTAGTCTGTAAAGTGAGTAAATAAGATATATCTGCAATCTATCACAATTCAAAATGTCATTTCAGTCAAGTTCAAATAAACATAGGTGGAAAAATACCAATATAATTTTGAAG